CCCCAGACGCTATATCCCCTGATAGCCGGGCACCATCAGCTTTCTTCACCACATTTGCTTATTCACCCTCTTTGTCTTCAGCGGCTGTGTCGGGAAGGCGAGCATCATAGAATGCCAATTTACTAGAAGAAAGCACTCTTGTGTTGAGGGAGTACTTGAGTGGAGGCGGTTGGGTTTATTTTCACAGAAATGGAGTCATACACTTTTTCTGAAGTGTGTTTTTTTCACTTAATATATAATGAAAAATATATTAATTGATATAAATGTATCTGCATTTTTAATTTTAGGCATACAAATATACATATTTGTGTCTATATCATCTATTTGTAATTTAAAAAAAATTTTAATCTCAAGTTTTCTACTTCCTCTTGGATTAATTTTGGGAATTTATTCATTGCTAACAAAATGTCAATTTCCCTTGCATTTTCAAATTTTTGACCTAGCACCGCATATAATATTGTCGTATGCTTTTATAATCCCTTTAGTATAGATGAGTATATCTACTCTCTCATACGAGCTAGATGATACAGTTTTCTGCTGGGGACAAAATGAAAGGCGGTGCTATACTTGAGTTTGAGCTGGAAAGGAGGGTCTTCACACGGAGGGGAGGAAGTCAGACTTTTCTGTGTCTCACTGCTGGCCGTCTGCAGAGCTTGTCTAGCCTGGTTCTGTCCTCATCTGTCCACAAGGTCCTCATTAAGGAAGCAGAGCAAGAGGGAGGGGAGTGTGGTGGGCCCAGACACACAGCAGGCAATATGTCCAATGTTGCTCTTTCTGTATTTTAGACCAGAAATGCTGCGGAATCAGAAGCTCGGACACCTTTTGGTCTTATTAAAGGCCATGCCTATACCATCACAGGGATTGACCAGGTAGGAGTTGAAGACCCTTGTTGCCAGAAACCCAGGATGGGCACAATAACACCAGTCCCTTATATTGGTTTAGATTTTTATGCCTATTTAGTTACCTTGTGCTTCATGCATTCATCACAATGGAAATGGCTCTCTCAGAGAATGTTGCATCTTAGGGAGGTAGGCTGGGGTACCACACAGCAAAACATCCAGGGTCAAATTTTTGAGCAGGTATGGAAGCTGTTCTTGTTTCTTTTCTCCCATGAATCTACATCAGTCCCATTCTCCACAGCTGTAGTCCAGGGTGTAACTAATACCTGGGGGCATCGAGGAGCACACAGCACCACCCCAACTTGGGAAAGAGAGAGGGAGGAAGAGATGACAGACGGTGATGGGCCAAGGGCTGCCCTCTCAGAAAAGAAGTCAGCAACTCCCAACTCTGCTTCTGCCCCTCTGAGCCTCTCACAGACAAGTCAGGAATGTGATGTGTAAAGAAGGCAGGCCAATCGGTCTCCTGCTTTTGCCTAAATTTTTAGGAATGCATGTCGATGAGTCAGGAAGGCAGGAGGAAGAAGAGAAGCTCTTGTTCTTCCTTCTCATTGAAGTTTCTGGCAAAAACCAAAGATGAAATTTCTTTAGAGGTTCCTTAGGAATTTCAGTGCTATGGTGTGTTAGACAGGGTTCTCTAGAGAGACAAAACCAGGACATTTATGATTAGATAGATAGATACAGCATGAAGGAATATAACAGCTAATTAGTCCACACAGTTGTGCAGAGGGATCAGTTCATCTCACTTCTGTGGAACAGTTAATATGCTGGATGTCCTTCAACTCACAAGTAATGCTGGGTCCAAGGTCAAGGAAGCAGACAGCTGAGTCTTCCCTATGGCAATGCAGGCAAGCCAGCAGTCCGGCAGCAGGCAGCAATCAGCAGGGCGGGTCACCAACAGTCAGCAAGACAACAGGATCCAACAGTCCCAAGCTCAAGTGATGTACACACCAGCAGTGTGGCAAAGCAGGTCTCGAAGGAACCTCAAGCCTCTAGCCACATGATCCATGGGTTGTCAGTACCACAGAAAGTGTAGCTCACAAAATGAGACAGAGAACTAGCAGCCACATGCTGGTCTAATCACCAGAGAGCAAGAGAGAGCAAGGTGGGGCTTGCCCAGCCATTTATCTCTTTGCCCTTCAATCAAACTGCAACCTTATTAATCCCACATGTTCCTATTGGCCATGTTGGCACAATAAACCTACCTATCACATGTGGTCATCCTTCTCTGATCATACAACCCTTTCTGCCCTCTCCCCGGGGCAGGCATGTGGATTTTTCTATGAGCTCTTCTTCATGCTGCTCCAAGTACAACAGAAAGATCCCATCAGCTCAGTGCAGTTGCTTCAGCTTTCTTTCTCTTTACCTCCAAGACACTTATTCTGAATGTTTCCAATCTGTGACCCTCTTAGATGGCGAAGCATAAGCCCTGGCTGCAACTCTGGAGTAATAGCTGACCTGAACTATTTATACAAATTAAAAATACAATTTTCTGTCAAATGTATGAAGGATAAAGTGTTCTGATCAGCTATCATTCCACTATCTTCTCACCAAAATCTTTCTAAAATAACATGACCCTCTTGCCTGCTCCAGGATAGACAATTAAGCACATTACAGCCTTTTCTGTACTGTTCAGGGCCCTGCATGTTTTGGGATTGCCATATGAACAGCAGGTCACACATGGCACCTGATCCACTTGCTGGCAAGTCGACTCCAACTCTTGGCAATTCCATGTGCACCCACGTGGTTTTCAATGGCTGACTTTCAATTCTTTCAATGGCTCGTTTTCAGTGGCTGATCTTCAATTCTTTCTATCCAGACACCTCTACGTGGACTTGAATACTCAACCTACGCACATAATCTGTCTTCAGCAGGCAGGAACTCCTTGATACTTGAAAGGGAGAATGTTGGAATTAATGAAGTTGTAGAAATAATTCTTATTTATTGTTATTTAAATTACCAGCATGTACTGAGATTCTGATCATTTATCTGTGCATAGGATGCTAAGGGTGGAAGAAAATATAGTAATAGCTCCATGAACATTTTTAAAATGACATTCTTTACCACATGTATGAAAAACACTGAAAAAATAAGTCCTTGTCCCATCTCCAAGGAGATCCCAGTCAAGAAAAAAGCCCTTATATGTTGGAAGATTCATGTGGACAAAATTCTGGTTAACTAAAATTTAATGTTATTTCCCAGATGCAGCATTCTGGGTGGCTTATATAAAATCATTTGTGAAGCTCATAATTATGTTCGATAAGAATTAGAAAATCCCGAGAGCTGGTTTAGAATTGATAAGTTTTTCATACTTTTGCCTCTGAGATGATTAAGTGAAGTTGTAGAGACTGCAGTGTTTGAACCAAGAGATTCATGGTAGAGCCTGGCTTCCCTTGTGATGACTGCCCTAGGGTACATGTGGGAACATAACCAAGACTTTACTGCAGTAATCACACCACATCTCTCTAATGCTCTGCCTTTCCAGGTAAACTTCAAAGGCCAAAACATCGAGCTCATCAGAGTCCGGAATCCTTGGGGCCAGGTCGAGTGGAATGGGCCATGGAGTGACAAGTCAGTAACCTTGCCCCGTCTCCACTGCTCCTTGGGCATGAGGGTTGGGGCTGGTTCTGTGCAAACATGTGAAGGAGGAGCAGTCTGCCTGCAGTTCTCCTCTGGCTCTTAATCAGGTCCTTCTTATCTCTGGGGTGACCTGACTTCCCCTCTTTCAGCCCTGAGGTGTGCTTCTGTCAAATTGAATTCTCAAGAAAAGCTCTTATAAGAACACTTTAACTTTTCATCTAATTGTATTTGTCATATCCCATAGGGATATTTAATATGCTATGTTCTATCTATGATTGTGAAAGGTTTTGTATCCTTTTACATTGTGAGTAACTCCAGAAAGCAGTGTACACACATACATCTTTGGATGCAAGTTGGGGGTGTGTGGGGTTGAGCATGTGTGTGTGCATGAATGTATATGTGTGTAAGTGTGTTTTCAGTGGGGTCGGATAGGGTGGCAGTGAGGATGGGATGTGGAGACTCTTGAAGCATTGATGAACTGGCTGCAATCGAGTCCTCTCTAACGGTGACTGATGGTTGGCCAGGGGTACAGTGGCACAGCAAAGAACGAGAGGAAGTACAGCAGGGAATTTATCCTGTCACATGGCACTTATTTACGTGGCCCCAATTACACTCACTTCTCATTTATTGACACGATTGGTTCCAAAGATCATATCATTATATGTAAATTGACGTTATCCAAAAGTAGAGGATGATCACAACAGATCACAACTGGAGGATGACTATATCATTGCATAACTGCCGGACCACTGAGAAGCATGGCCCAGCCAAGTTGACACATAACCTTAACTATCATGACGAGCGATGCTCTTACCTCGAACCTCGGTGTTCTTTACTGACAGACATATGCCATGAATACTCTAAAAATGTGGACAGTAGATTTATTTACTATTGTCATAAATGTGCGCTGTCAAATAGTAAGATAGCTAATACATGAGGAAAGGGGGCATGAAGGTCTGCTTTTCCTGCGGCTCCTGGTCTTTTAGTCTCAGTCAGAAGGGATGTCTTAATCTCTCCTTTTGTATAGGAGGTATGGTTTACCATTTAAATGAAAGCCTGGGAATGTCTAGGCATGCCTGTGACAGTGACTGCCCTGGGCTGTCTCTCCTCACTCCTTTCTCCTCTGAGCCAGGCTCTCTGGTGCTTTGGGCTCTCAGAAGTCCTTCCCTGTCCACTCTCCTGGCAGGTTCTTTAAGACCATGAAGCAAGCCTAGAACATGAGTGAAACTGAGCCAGGACCAACCTGGGTCCATACAATGCTATGAGGTCACCCAGCAAGCATTTGTCCTGGCTTTATCAGGCAGGTTCCAGCATTGGGATGGAGCTTGCTTGTTCACCTGGACCCCGCTCTTTTCCCATCCTCCCTTTCCTGCTTCCAGGTATCTACTTGCTTAGAACAAAGGGCATTGAATGGAGACCAACATTAAAGTAGTTGAGGTTGGTTGTCGGGGGAATACCAGCCCCTAACAACTATCACGGGTTTGTAAGCACAACTGTGTGGTTTTATAATATATAAATATATATATGATATATATATATAAAGATTATATATAGTAAAGTCATAGAAGATAGGAGAGAGAGTAAAATAAAGGAGTCAGACACATTTCATGGTAGCATGCTCATCTCACCCTCTCTTGATGGTCCACGTGGAGGTGCGAGAGGAAGGGGACAGGAGAGAGAGAGTGATTGATTTCTAACCGAGGCTTATATATCTTTGGGGACGTGCAAGCCCCCTGATTACAGGTAACGACTCACAGGAAGGGGTCGTACCATAGGCAATACAGCAATGGAAGGGGGATGATCTAGGGTTGTACACGCTATAGGAAAAGGAGGGATTCGGGGTACACATGTGACAAGATGGGCGGATCCTAGATTCATGATGGCAGCCTAACCTTGGTTGTCCTTGAGCTGGAGACTTGATTTATTCTGAGCCCTTCAGGGAAAGTAATCCACTGTCCTTAACAGCTGGGAGTGAGGCCCACCTATGGTGGACCAGACAGTAGTCTGATTGCTCTGGATGGCTGGTGCCTTCAGGGGGATAACTTGGCAATCATTTACCCTTAGTTGCAAGCAGTGTCCTTGGTCTGACATATATTTGGGGGAGACAAGTTGGGGAACAGCCTTTTTATATCCCCAAGTTGGTCAAAATTAAGAAAGACCTGTAGTGTTCCCTGGTTTAAACAAAGCAATTATACAAAAGAAAGGCTATATTTTTCCTTTCCCGGGCGAATATATAGAAATAGAAATAAAGGTGTATTTTTCCCGGAATAAAATTCATTTTCCCCTCACACTCAGCAGCCAGATGTAGTAAGACTAAGTCTCCAGGCTGACCGTTCAGCTTGGCCACACTCCTTAGACCTTAAGAACAGAGTTCAAGACACCGCATAGCCTACCAGGCAGAAAGTCTTTTCATGTGAGCCTCTCACAAAGTAAACCAAACCAAACTCACTGCCATCAAACCAATACTGACTCATAGCAACCCCCTGTAGGTTTCTGAGACTGTAACCATTTTCAGGGGTAGAATTACCAGTCTTTATCTCATGGAACTACTACTGATGGTTTCGAACTGCCAACCCTGCGGATCACGGCCCAACAAGTCACCACCACTACACCACCAGGGCTCTTATCTCTTCGAAAGTAAGGGCTTTTAATTTTACTCTTCTTGCTCTGGCCCCGGTGACGTGGAGAGATGGCCTCCTGAGCCCTTCACCTGAATCTCCTGCTCCTCCTCTCTGAAACTAATTCAGGGTCTAGAGCATGTGGAAGACGAGCCGTGGCGACATAGTGGTTATGTGTTGGGCCACTAACGGCAGGGCCAGCAGTTCAAAACTACCAGCCACTCCAAGGAAGAAAGATGGGCTTCCTACTCCTGTTAAGACTTACAGTCTTGGAAACTCACAGAGAGCAGTTCTACCCTGCCTATAGGGTTGCTACGAGTTGGGATCAACTCAATGGCATATGCAGAGGTGTGGGGGTGGGAGTGCATAGAGGTGGGGGAGAGAGGGAGAAGTAACCACCTCAATTAGAACTTGGTAGGAAATAAGCCAGTTGCTGACTCCTGGTGATCCTTATATGTCGGTGTAGAACTAGGTTCCATGGGATTTTTCGGTGCATGATGTTCAGAAGTAGGTCATCAGGCCTTTCTTCTAAGGCACATCTTGGAGGATTGAAACGTTCAGCCTTTCCGTTAATAACTGACCAGATCCTCGCGTGCACCACCCAGGGATTTCATAACATGAGGGTGTCATTGCTTAATTTGAACTGTACAAGAAGCTATAGAGCCATAGGAAACCTAGTTCTGAACTTGGAATCACAACTGCCAAGTTGGAGGGATAACTGAAGGCCCTTCACTAGCTCTTCCCTATGAACATATCACTTCATCTGCCCAAAAGTCCTCAACCGTAGAGTGGACGCATCTACTTCATAGAACTGTGAGCTGAGTTCATAATGATGCCACACATATAGAGATACGTTGTACCTAGCGTACAAAGCATGGACACATCTAAGGTACTGCACTATACTCTCAAAGTATCCGTTTATACACTAAGAAGGGCGGTCACTTGGTTTATTCCACAACCAAGAGCAAAAAAGAGTCGATGGTAGTCAAGGGACTAACGTCAAACAACTGAGATACTCATTCCACTAACCTTTTGATGTTCTACTGTCACCATGATGTCCTCTGTGGGGCCTTCAAGTGGTGTTTGCCTCAGCACTGAACTGCTGACTATGTGAGGACCGAGGACCAGCCAGGTTCTATGTGCCTTGCACATTCCTGGGACTCAGAGAATAGTCACTGAGCAGGACAAGTTCACACAGAACAAATGTGCATCTTGGCTCCTCTCCCTCTGGGATCAGGGTTGCTTGCACGGCTGCTCATTCACAGTCATCTCCCTCAATGCTGACTTTGTTTGCTCGTAGTGCTCTTGAGTGGCATTCTGTTGGCCCGGCTGTGGAAAAGCGCCTCTGTCATGCTGCTCTGGACGATGGGGAATTCTGGTACAGTACTTGTCTTTCTTTTCATCAATAGCATGCAAGGTATAAATGTCACAAACCTTTTCAAAAAGTCAGACACACACCTCTCAAACCCCTTATACCCATCTGTCTACCTTGCCTAAAATTTCGTCCCCTCAATCATATTGAGTCCCCTCAATCCCTGAGTTAGGGCAATCCAAAAAAGCACAGGCGTGGGGAAGAGCCTCTGGTCCCAACCCAGCATCTCCCGTTTGAGTTATTGATCTCCAGGTGGCTTCGAGGGCACGCAGTCCTGCTGCTCACCACGTCGATGCCTCCATGCTCAACCTCATGACAGGGACCTTTGGAGTGCTACTTTGATATCAGCTAAAAGAAGGAAGGAAGCATTTCTAATCTAGTCTTTTCATTGGGCTGAACCCCTTTGTTTAACTGAACAGTTTTAGTGGGTCTTTGTCTCTGGAAGTTTTTTGGTTCTGTTTTCCTTTCTCTTATGTCTTGACTTTTGAGGTCCACAGACAACGGACTCTTCCAATCCTCCAAGACCATGAATTCTTCATTTCTGGTCCCGTTTTGGTTCATGCTCTCAAGAGCAGTCCATTTTTGCCTAAGTTCATCTCTTTCCTGTAACACCTTGTTAAAAACAAGAAGCAAAACCTAGGATACACCAGTATTCTGGCATTTTCTACGCTTTCCCCTTAGAACACAAACACCGTTAGCATTTGTTCTGTCTTGGGTTTTTCAGGCAAAATGATAAAATATTTTGTCACTGTGCAGTGTAGCATGTCCAAGCTTCGGTATTTCCTTGGGGCGTTCTGCTCAACTGCTAAGCTGATCTTACATATTTTAGAACTTTGCTGTGGCCGCTCCAGACTGCAAGCTACCAGTGATTTCGGGTAACAATGTCTATTGCTGTAAGTAATAGACACTAAGAATAAAAGGCAAGTGTGGGGAAGCTCTTATTCTGCCCAGGGCCATTTGCATATTTATAATTTCCTGCAAGGACCATACAAAATAATCATCTTAAAATGTTAGCCTGTTATATTTGGTCAAACATTTCATTAACTCACCCTGATGGGTGGCTGGAACTGCTTCTCTGTGGTGAGATGTGTGATGTTAGCTAGTATGGATGATTTCTCTGGCTTTATATGGCCCGAGGGCTGGATAATCCCCACTCCTGATATAAAGAATTTAACACAATAAATTTATTTCTCTTTTTTTTAATTAAAAAAAAATCATTTTATTGGGGGCTCATACAACTCATCACAATCCATCCATCCATTGTGTAAAGTACATTTGTACATTCATTGCCCTCATCATTCTCAAAACATCTGCTCTCCACTTAAGCCCCTGGCATCAGCTCCTCATTTTCCCCTTCCTCCCCCTCCCTCTCCCTCATGAGCCCTTGATAATTTATAAATTGTTTATTTTGTTCTGTGTCAGCCTTACTGACCTGCTTAGAGTTCTTTGAGCACATCACAAACATTCTGCCTCAGGACCTTGCTGCCCATCTGACTAGAAATCTCTGTCCCCATAGAGCTGTTTGTCTACTCCCTTATGCTTTAGTTCTCCATTGAAAAGTCACCCTATCAGTAATGCCTTTCCTTGCCCCCTGTGTGAGGCTGGGTTGTCCAGAGAGAACAAAATCAGTGACACTCGTATATGTATAAGAAAGAACTTTATCTCAAGAAGTAACTATATATCAAGAAGACATCCCAGCTCCGTCCAACTCAAGTCCATGGGTCTAAAGCTAGCTGGAGTCCTCTTCAGACTCATGGTGCTGCAGGATGCTGCTGCAGAAAAGGGAAGCAGAAGCAGGAAGATCACAGGCCAATGGGTGCGGAGTTGTGTGGATCCAAGGTCAATGGATCTACCGGGCGCCACAGCTTTCAGGATCAGCTGCTTACATAGAGCTACCCTGGGTGGCAAACACAGAATGCAAGCAGCAAGGGGCAAGGTGAAAAGCGATATATAGAGAGGTTCCTGGTGTCTCGTTTATTAAAAGGCCACACCCGCAAGGAGGCATCATCAGGCTGTGACCTGATTGGTAGGTTGGATTCCATCCTTACACTTTCATTCAAGGACAGATTGACATAAATTCTAACTACCACAATAACGTAAATGAATGCCTCAAATCTACATTCCATTCTTTTGCCTTAATTTATTTTTTCTCTGTAATACTGATCATATACAGCTAGCCTCTATTTTTACCTTTGCTCCCGTGTGTATTTTCTGTCTCCCCACCCTTGAGTGTAATCTCTATGCGGACAGACATTTGATACTATCTATCTATAGATGGTTACATGAATGAATGAATCCTGTCATCACTATTATCCTCCCCCATGTTGTTTTCCTCCACTTTCTTGCAGGATGTCATTTAAGGACTTCAAGGCCCATTTTGACAAGGTGGAGATTTGCAACCTCACTCCCGATGCCCTAGATGATAATGCTTTCCATAAATGGGAAGTGACAGTCCACCAAGGAAGCTGGGTTCGGGGCTCCACTGCTGGGGGTTGCCGCAATTTCCTGGGTTGGTAGGCACCTCTCCCTCTCTGTGCCAGTCACAAGTGTCCAGTCCAATCAGGACCAGGCCCATAGGGAAACCCAGAGACAGAATATTTGGGGAATGGCTGGGAAAAGAAAGTTGTAGTGATATCAAAGGACGTTAGATAAGAATTGCTTAGGAAAACTCCCTTATTTTATCACTTGTGCTGTTATCTATTATAAGTAATGGAAAAAATAGCCCACATCAGTTTATCAACAAAGAATATTAATTGGATGACATAATCGAAAGTTCAGGGAAGTAGGTAGGCTTAGGCACAGTTCTATCAAGGCTCTGGCGCCATGTGTTTGCAATGATCTATTCTGCTCGATTCCCAATGCTAGTTCCTTGGGGTGGCTTTTCTTTATAATAGAAGTGCTGCCAGTGGCATCAGGACTACCTGAGCTCTTATGTCTATGCACAGAAGTCATCGAACAAAGTCTTCAACTTCCATCTAATTTCCAATATAGGTGGGGGATGCATGGGCGGATTGACTTTATTCCAATTCTCTGTGGCAAGTGCAAACCAATCAGAGTTCACCCTTAGAGTTCAGGCTTACTCAAATTGCATGCCATTTAACAGTGGAATGGTTGCTGAGCGACCAAATGCAGATCCACTACACTCTTTTGCAATGCCAAAAGATGGAGCAAACTGTAACGCATTATATCCAAAAGAAAATCTTTTTAAAAGCTATATAGGAAATAGCCTACACAGAAGAAGGATGCGGAAATCAAAGGCAAAACAAATTGTTTTCTCAGAGAGAAAAGAAATGCTCTCAGGCTTGGGGAGATGTAGTAGGAGGTAGCGTGTGTGTGTGTGTGTGTGTGTGTGTGTGTGTGTGTGTAGATGTAGTGGGAGGTAGCGTGTGTGTGTGTGTGTGTGTGTGTATTATTGTCTTTCATATTTTTGGGTTTTTGGTTTGTATTGTTTTATTTTAAGGAAGGGAAGATAATTTATCTCTTTCAAATGGCAGACACCTTCTGGACCAACCCACAGATCAAGCTGTCCTTGAATGAGAAGGACGAAGGGCAGGAGGAGTGCACTTTCCTGGTCGCCCTGATGCAGAAAGATCGAAGGAAACTCAAGAGATTTGGGGCCAACGTGCTCACCATCGGCTATGCCATTTACCAAGTACGTGGGGGCCAAACTGCCCTTCCTACTCCACCATCCAAGTGTCAAGTCTACATTTCTCTTTGGCACTCTTGAGTCTCAATGGCTAGTCATCAAATTGTCCAAAACTTAAGACCAGGAGCCCTTGCTAGCGTGACCCACTCTCTTGCTTTCTCATTGCAGAGTCCTGGCAAGGATGAACATCTGAACAAAGACTTCTTCAAGTATCATGCCTCGCAGGCCAGAAGCAAAACATTCGTTAACCTGAGAGAAGTCTCGGACCGGTTCCAACTGCCCCCTGGGGAGTACATCCTGATTCCCAGCACATTCGAGCCACACCAGGAAGCTGATTTTTGCCTGAGAATCTTTTCAGAGAAAAAAGCCATTATTCAGTGAGTACTAGATTTGACAGCCCCTTTTCCTATGGTGGCTCGTTCACATAGCAGACACCAAGAGATGGATGCTGTGGCCCCCTTCTTCCCTTGCTCACGGTCCACCTGGGACGCCAGGCTGCAGAGTTTCTTCTCCTATTTCCAAAACGTGTTCCTTTCTATATTAACTTGGCTCCTCCCTCCCTCCCTCAAACAAACCAGAAAAAGTTGCTCCCCCGCTATTCCCAGAATCATGATCACTGGGCACTCAGGTGAAGTCCTTTTGTCCAAACCCTATTACCCTGAAGCGTCTGGGATGGTAACCACATTTTGAAATACTCATTTCTGTGCACCATTGTGCACACATGACATTCTGCCACCTTTTCCTAGCAGTGTTTTTGCAAATTGTTTGTGTCGATTGCTTCTATATAAAAGACTTCCCATTATTGCCCAGTCACCATTGGTTGCTCTGTGACCAAGAGAGAAAGGGGTCAAGACACAGGCATCCATTTATCTTCCCAATGGAGGGATTCTAAAGATCGCAGAGAGTGGGAAAATGTACCTTCTGCATGTAAGCTAGACACCTCCCACTGAAGGACTGTTAAAAAGACAGAAGCCATGGTGGACCATGGTCTGCTCTTTTGTTCTGTTTTTACCTTTTATTTTGCGGGTTGAAATGCGTTGGTGGTATCTACTGAGAAGACTTCAAATTACAGTCTACAGCTTGGGTTCCCCAGAGTGAGCCAAAATATGCTTCTTTCTCTTGTACTGAATTGAAGTACGAAAGCCTTGTTTTTCTTTGTTTTTCAAATTCTTCTGGAGGATTGTTCTCCAGCCTTGCCTCAGAAACTACTGCACACGCTGGATTAGTTTCCCAGAAAAGCATGCATTTCCCATGAAAGTGCCACAGGGATCCATGCCGTTTGTCACGTCTTGTGAGTAAGAGCCAGAGCAAGCCTTCTCTGCCCATTCAAACACCGTGGTGCCCGTCCTCTTTGTGGGTTGAGGTCAGAGCCTCATGTGGCCTGTACTCCGTGCTTGCTGTGACCAAGATCCCTGAGTCTGCCTGAGTATTAGGCGTAAGTATTGGCTCTATAGTTCAGGAACAGGTGATCCACATTAAGCTGCTTCATTGATTTTGCTTTCCTGAGAGGGCCCAAACAAAAGACATTTCTGAATGGGTTTTCTAGCGTGTGTCCAGTGTGTGGGGAAAGAGGCCTATCCTGGCTCAGTCTTGCTTTTAGTTGTCATCAAGTCAGCTCTGGCTGGTGACCATTCCAGGTACCACAGAATACAGTACTGCTCAGTCCTGTATAATCATGATTATGATTGCTATGCCCATTGGTATGAGTCCACTATTGACGCCACTCTATAGTTTGAGTGTTTTTCAACCTAGGGAGCGCCTTTCCTAGCATTCGCTCAGACAGTGTTCGGTTGTGATCCATAAGGTTTCTTAGTTAATTTTCAGAAGTAAATCTCCAGGACTTTCTTCCTCTTGTGACTTAGAATGAAAGTTCTGCTGAAACCTCTCCACCATGAATTAGACTGTTGATATTTAAAGTTCTGATCTATAACTTCCAGATGCAGAGCAACACACAAGTACTGATTTATAACTTCCAGAATCAGAGCAACACACAGTGTGACAAACTGATTGTCTGGTGGTAGACTCGAATCTTTTTAAAAAATCGTTTCATTGGGGGCTCATACAGCTCTTATCACAATCCATACATGCATCCATTGTGTCAAGCACATTTGCACATTTGTTGTCCTCATCATTCTCAAAGCATTTTCTTTCTACTTAAACCCTTGGTATCGGGCCCTCGTTTTTTCCCTCCCTCCCCCATGAACCCTTGATAATTTATAATTTTTTTTCACGTCTTACACTGACCAATGTCTCCCTTCTCTCATTTCTTTGTTGTCCATCCCCCTGGGAGGGGATTATATGTACATCATTGTGATTGGTTTCCCCTTTCTCTTCCCACCTTACCTTTACCCTCCTGGTATCACTACTCTCATTAGTAGTCCTGAGAGGTTTATCTGTCCTGGATTCCCTGTGTTTCCAGCTCTTATCCGTAGCCATGTACATGCTCTGGTCTGCCCAGATTTGTAAGGTAGAATTGGGGTCATGATAGGGAGGTGAGAGGAAGCATTAAATAACTAGAGGAAAGTTGTATGTTTTGTTTTGTTTTTTTCTTTTTTATAAATGTGGGGGGTTTTTTTGTTTTGTTTTTTTTTCTTTTTTTATTTTTAACATTTTATTAGGGGCTCATACAACTGTTATCCCAATCCATACACACATCCATTGTGTAAAGCGCATTTGTACATC